TAAGCTATAAAACCACAGGCGGCTCACATGCTTAGCCAACAACTAGGCTGATCTAGAAATGAATCTGCAAACACAACATCAGCATTCACCCCAAAGAGTAGCAAGGAAGAGAAAGCCGAACCTTTTGCACCCACAATTCTAGCCAACGGACAGCCGAAGTCCCATTTAGGTCTAGAATGGGCGTAACCATTACCTGCTTACTGGACAGTTTAAAAACAAGACACAGCGACAACAAGGAGATGCAGAAAAAGAGAACAGGAGACGGCATTCTTCTTTACTTAGCAACAGTAAATGTCACAGACACAATAAAAAAAAATATCGCAAAACGAAATCAGCTGGTCTCATGACAAACCAGAGAAATTAAACGCTTCAGGGCATTAATTAATTAATTAATTATTATTTAAAAAATAATAACTATCAGTTCAGTCAAGTAAGACTTTTGAGGAGCATGGCCAGACAGTTGAACGTGGCCCTTCTCGATAGTAAATGCTCCATGGTGTTAACACGGAGCAAAGAGAAGGAGGCGCTCCCTGTACATGGGGAAGGAGGAACATGGGCGGTTTGGTTCCTTTTGGAGTTCCTGAGAAACAAACAGAAGGGTAGCCAAGTTCATGATTAGGCTTTTGTGCGCTTCTTCAGACGAAATTTCAAGCCAGGAGGACGCATTTTGGGTTGGTGAACCTTTTCTGAAATGAGACGGGGGAGAGGAAAAAAAAGAAGGGGAGAAAAAAAAAGGTAAGAGAGAACGTTCATATAAACGAATAAAGTTATTTATTAAATCATCCATTGGAGGGGCATGCAGGAAAGAGGCCATACTCTTACAATAGCTATCAGAAACAGCCAAATGAAGAAGAAGCTAAGGTACAGGTCGGCATACCGTTATAGGAAGAAGACTGCCAAAAAAGGAACAGCATTAAAATCTAGTAGAAGCCAGGAGAGGAACTGATCAGCTGATTCAAGATAAACCATCATTCTAACACTTCTGGATAATCTTCAAAAGCAATAGCGGGTTCTCTGACCCTTCGGAAGAGAGAGAGAGAGAGAGTTGGGATCCAGGAAGAATGTGCCTCAAATGCCAAGAATTCTTGGAAGTTGACAAGACCACTCCACCTCATCAGACCAGCAAACTGATCTGTCCTGATTGGGGATTTGGGGATGAAATGTAAGAGATTAGCTTTGAGAAAGGATCCCAAGAATATAGTCTTGAGAGTTCCAAACAAGGCATCAGGACTAAATACTCCTAGTTCAATTCCAGTTTCTAGGAATCAACAGCAGGAGGAGGAGGAGGAGGACCAAGGGAAAGAGCTCTTTCGCAAGCCCCTTTTTAACTAAAACAACGAATTACACGGTGTTCCCAACTGGCAGGTAGGACTAAGGCCATACAGGTGAGGCAGGCCTATTAACCACTTTAAGATTTCAGCAGCCATTTTGAAACTGGTCCCTCTTAAGTGTTGCAACCCGATTCCCGAAGGTCCCAATGATCTGGCTTGCATTTCTGTTTTGTGTGGTACTGCACAACTTTCCCTAACATTCTGGAGCAGCAAATCCACTACCGTCTATAGATGTGTTGGACTACAATTCCCATTACCCTCAATGTCCACCAGACGGGGAAAGTTGATACGATCCTGCATAATCATCACGAATGGATGCCACTGGTAGATACCAGTATAATGGTATACAGAGATATATACACGATAATACATAGTATAATACATGCAGGGGCTTATTACCAACGTACAGTACCTCTATATTTAGCAAAATCTAAGTCCAATGTATGAAAAAAAAAGAACCTTGTTTTCCATTCTGGATACATTTTCTTTCCTCCTTTTAGAAATGAAGGGAAAAAAGGAGATGGGGCCACCAATTTTATCCATTGTAAATCTTTTGGAGCCATGGTGGCGCAGCGGTTGGAATGCAGTATTGCAGGCTTATTCTGCCCACAGCCTGGAGTTCGATCCTGATCGGCTCAAGGTTGACTCAGCCTTCCACCCTTCCGAGGTCGGTAAAATGAGGACCCAGATTGTCGGGGGTGCAATAGGCTGACTCTGTAAACCGCTTAGAGAGGGCTGTGAAGCGGTATATAAGTCTACTCTAAGTGCTATTACTATTGCTGTTTCTTCATAACGGATTGGACAAACAACAGTGCCCTTTGCTAATCCACAAGGAAAACAGAGCTTCCTAATACACATGAGGAATGTGCATATTTGTGCAGGATGGTTGTACAAATAAACCAAACAATTAAATAAACCCAATACAAATCCAGAGGGCGGAACTCACTTTCTCTGGGGATCTGCTGACTATGAGGTGAAAGACCCCTTCTTACAGGGCTTTGATAGGAACTTTATCTCTTGTTTTATTTTTGCCCTCCTTCACAGCCATAAGAGAGGGAGGGTAGAAAAGGACAGGGGTGCATAAGCCCCTTCCCCAGCCCAGCCCAGGGATGATGACCTTAAAATAGGACAAAGAAAAAACGAGCCAGGTACTCACCCTGCTGCCCTTGAGATCTTCTTGGCCGAGTTGATTCTAGGAATCTTCTGGCTTCTTGGTTGCTGGAGGAATCCTTGAAAGCTTTGCGGGCCTTGTGTTTATTTATTTATTTTTTTAAAAAATCAAATCATATCCCAACTCCAACTAAATCACTTTTGGTCTAACTGAAAGTCCCCCAGTGACCTGTGTAGGTAGTTCTCAACTTACGATCACAATAGAGATGGGAAAATTTTATCATTCAGAGGTGCAGTCGTTAAATGAGGCATCACAAGATTGCACCCAGTGTTATGACCTTTTTTTTTAACCATGGTCGTTAAGCAAATCACCGCGCTCATCGAGACATCACGTGACCATGTGATCTTCCTGCTGGCTTTCCCGTTAACTTTGCTGGCTGGGAAAGTCATAAATGGCCTTCATTGGATTGCAGGATACTGCAAAATGGCCAAGCATCTGAGGTGACCATGGGGATGCTGCGACGGTCATAAGCGCGAAAAATGGCCCTAAGTCACTTTTTCCGGTGCCATTGTAACTTCAAACAGTCACTAAATGAACTGTTGTAAGTCAAGGACTACCTGTACTGCTCAGAATTTAGGCCTTGGCAGCCATTACCCAGGATCTAAACCAGGGGTAGGGAACCTTGGCTCTTTTATGACTTGTGGACATCAACTCCCAGAATTCCTGAGCCAGCATGAGGGAAACTTTGGCCCCTTCATGACTCGTGGACTTCAACTCCCAGAATTCCTGAGCCAGCATGAGGGAAACTTTGGCCCCTTCATGACTCGTGGACTTCAACTCCCAGAATTCCTGAGCCAGCATGAGGGAAACTTTGGCCCCTTCATGACTCCTGGACTTCAACTCCCAGAATTCCTGAGCCAGCATGAGGGAAACTTTGGCCCCTTCATGACTCGTGGACTTCAACTCCCAGAATTCCTGAGCCAGCATGGCTCAGCTTGGAAACCTCTCTCTTTACCCTCAGCATGGCTGGCTCAGGAATTCTGGGAGTTGAAGTCCACGAGTCATAAAAGAGCTAAGGTTCCCCACTCCTGGTCTAAACACTGTTGACATGGCCTGCCTCTCCATAAAAACAGAAATCATCATTTTTTACTTGGTATTTCAGCAATTTCTATGGTGTGAATTCTGGCCACTTGTGTTAGCCAGATGAGCCCGCAGCAGATTCTGCTTGGATAAATGTTCTCCCCAAGTTATTATGCCTCCTTTGCAGTGATACATAAGTAATGCCACATTGAAACACAAGACAAGATAAGCAGGTAATGGTTTTCCACAATCTCCTTTTTTCTGAGATCCCAGCAAGCATTCAAATAGTTTGGCTACGTATGGTTGACTCAAACACATGCCACACATAATACGCAAAACACACGGATCGTCTCTGCAAGAAGACAGACAACCTTCAAAACTGTTCCCTCTTAAAAACACACACACAAAAAAAAGAAATGAGTGCTCCCTTATCAGCTAGCCTACATCAAGGTTGGTCAAGGCAAGCAGAGCGATGGGGAAGGTGCTGTTGTTGATCTGGCCTCTTCAACAAGAAGCCTGCAATTGGACTCTGGGTAGCAGGGTGGGGAGGAGAAAGAAACACATCGCTAGACCAAGCCAAAGAGAGAAGGCAGGGCAACTCGGACATTAACAGAGGCAGGAGCAGCTGTCCATCC